TGGCCGTGTCAGAGCTGTTGCCAACAAGCCAAATGCAAGGCCTGTGTGGGGAAAGTATTCCATCTTCTTACCAGGAATTTTGTTTTCCTCACACTCAAGGTTGTAGAACGCCCTCAAGGGCTTGCTTACAACGAACACAGGTCTCTCAACAGTCAAAACCTTGCCCTCTTCCACACTGGCATGCACTGGGACAATTGCAAATGTCCCAACTCCAATCTCCACTGCCTGGAAACAAGCAAGAGGAGGGAGCATTGGCAGGGCTGCCCAGAGGCGGGGTGGCTACCATATGACTGGTATAGTCCTGGGAATGGCACTTTGGCCCCTGCTCTGGAGGCCCAGAGGGAAAGGGTGAGGCATGTACAGGACTCACCTTCTTCTGCAAGAGCTGTCTGTGGATGTAGCGAGATGCTCCAGACCAGATTTTCCAGATTTCTGGAAAGTAAAGGAAAAGCTCTGCCATGCTCTGATTCAGTGACAGCCACCATCCCCTGTACCCCTACCCACACAGTTGACAGTGGGGTGCCCTCAAGCACCCCTTGCCCTGAGTAAGCACTCTCATCACTGGGGCTGCCCAACTGCATGTTTGACTCCAGGCTCAAAGCAACCCACCCTGTGTCCATGATAGGCCTGGGGAGGAAAGGTAGGTAGTAGTTCTGGGAAGAGGATTTCCACTCCTAGACACTGCCAGTTCCTAGAGGCCTGGGCTACCAAAGCCACCCCAGAGCCTCAAGGCACCACAAGGCAGGGCTCTCCTTACTGCAGTCTGTGTTGTCCAAAAGAGCCCCTTCTGTGGACCCAGCCTCAGGGGGGCTTTCCACAGCTCATCTCCATGTAATCTTGGCCCTGACAGTGCTGCTGCAAGGGTCACCTATGGTCTTACCACTGTTGCTGAGCTCCTTGAGAGTTGGGAGGTCCCCCGGCCCCACAGGCTTATAGCGCATGTACTTCATCATCTTTGCCCCCCTGCAGTGCAGCAGCTGAGGAAGAGGTGCTTGTCCTGCTACAAAACCCCTCTGCTCCTCTCCTCCTTCTCCTCTGCACTTCTTCCCAAGTGGTGTCTACAATGTTCTTCTAAAGTCTCCTGGCAGCAGGGCAGTTCCTGCACAGCAGTGCAGAAAAGTTGCTTGCTCTGCTACAAAATCTCTCTGCTCCTCTCCTCCCTCCTCAACACTTCTCCAAGTGGTATCTCCAACGCTCTCCCACAGCTTCCCTTTGCCTCCTGGCAGCAGGGCAGCTCCTGCACAGCAGAGCGCTGGTGAGAGCAGTCCTGGTATCACCCAGACCTCTCCAAAGAGTGTGGAGGGGGACCTGTCCCTGGGATGTGGGTGTCCCACTGTGATGTCATGCCATGGGTCACAGGGCTGCACACAAC